CTGCTGCTGCTGCTGCTGCTGCTGTTGCTGCTGCTGCTGTTGCTGCTGCTGCTGCTGCTGTTGCAGGACGTTCCGCGTTGCAAGGGCCGTGTTATCCTCCGCAGAACTTCATCGATGCTGCTGATACTGCTGCCGCTGCTGTTGCTGCTGCTGCTGTTGCTGTTGCTGCTGTTGCTGCTGCTGCTGCTGCAGGGCCTCCTAGGCAGTTTATGGTGGGGTCTATAGGGGCCTTTTTAGGGGCCTTCGCTGTTACTGCTGCTCACTCTATTCGCAGCCAGAAGAAGCATAAGAAGGGCCTCGTACGCAAACCCTAAACCCTAAACCCTAAACCCTAGCGACGCAGGACGAGTGGGCCCTGGTCTCAAAACCCTAAACCCTCGGTGTGCCATTTGCTGCTGCAGTGGAAGCTCCAGAACCAACACATCAAATCCATGTGCTTTATGGTAAGCCTAAACCCTAAACCCTAAACCCTAGAGCTGGCGGCCCCACAGGCCCTGGCAAACCCTAGACCCTAAACCCTAAACCCTAAAACTTCGTAGTTTGGGGTGGATGTACGCGCGAGGGCCTGAAAGCTCTGGGGCTGCCGGCGGCCGCAGACGCCGTAACCCTAAACCCTAAACCCTAAACCCTAAACCCTGGAAAGTTGGGGTGTATGTACACCAGGACATGGACTCGCTGGCCCCACCCATGGCTGCAGACGCTTCCACAGAAGAAGGGGAAAAAGCAGCAAAAGAATTGCTGCAGCAGCACGCCTAGGGTTTAGGGTTTAGGGTTTGAGGAGGCCCTCTGGGGGGCTGGCTCTAGGGTCTGCAGCGGCGCAGAGCGCTCCCCGGCCAAGTCCCCTCCCACCCAAACCCTAAACCCTAAACCACAAACCCTAATTCCTCAGCGAAGCCTTGAAACACGCTCCAAATGTGGCTGACGGTTTAGGGTTTAGGGTCTAGGGTTTGAGGTCCCGGGTGTGCTGCCACCCTCTTTGTTTTCCCTGAAACGCGCCAAACCCCAAACCCTCAAAAGTGTTTTACCTTTGCAACTTTCCAGACAACAGACCCAAACCCTAAGCCCTAAACCCCAAACCCTCACCAAAACCCCAAACCCTCACGCCAAACCCCAAACCCTACACCCCGTACCCTAAGCCCTCTCCCCGAACCCTACGCCCTCCCCCAAACCCCAAACCCTAAACCCTAAACCCTAAACCATACCTCACAACCCCCACGACAAGAGATATGTCGTCGGGCTTGCCCCCCAAATGCCTCGGCATTGGCCCCAGCAGCTCTCTTTCTTTGGAAGCGAAGGGGCTGTTCCACTTCCTGCGCAAAACCCTAAACCCTAAACCCTAAACCCTTGGCTAGGCGAGAACAGCCCCAGCCGCGTTCCCCAGAGCCCCTAGCAGCTGCAGCAGCTGCAGCAGCTGCAGCAGCTGCTGCAGCTCGCCGCATGCAAACGTTGCGC